CATTCTTGAAATACAAAATTATAGAGATGGAGAACAGTTAGTGGTTGTCAGGGATTAAGGCAGGTGGTAGGGAGAAAGGTGGCTACGATTATAAAAGGGCAGCTCTAGGGGTCCTTATGCTGGAAGTCTTCTGTCTCCTGACTGTGGTGGTGGTAAATGAATCTACATACGTGATAAAATTGCATAGAACCAAATACACATTCCATCTCAGGGCACCTATGACCTCCCAGGGACAACCTTGTCCTTGGCCTCTCTGCACAAAGTCCTCTAAAAATGATTAATATATAATACAGATCAATTTTCTGCACTATGCAGAGAAGCCACTATTAGTATATTTTTCTCCTTCTGGGTAAATTTCTTGATTATCTTTATAAGATAAACCACGTGTCTCTAGCTTAAATGAACTTGAAAATAAAAAGAGGAAATAAAAAGCTGATATACAGCTTCTAGTATTTTTGTCTTTTTTTATTTTTGTAAATTAAGATAAAAGATAAATCAAATGTTTCCAGGTTAAATAAGGTCAACTCAGGGGCCAGCCCGGTGGTGCACTGGATAGTGCGCCGCTTGGGAAGCGCGGCGGCGCTCCCACCNTGAAATATAGAAGGGTAAAAGAGGACAAGAAACAAGTGAAAGAAATGGGAGAAAGAAAAGGAGAGAGAAGAGTATTTCCATGCATATTTAATATTTTATTGAACACATTAATACTGTTTTATATTTAAATACCAGTTATATAACTGATAGACCTCATTTACTAGAATAACAGCTTTTAAAAGGTCTTATCTATCCTGCAAGGCAAGCTACTTACCCAGCAGAAAAATGAAGAACTTGAGAACTTAATATATGGATACCTTACCTGATCCTCTTTTAGGCATTCAAAAGGTTTGCAAACAATTCCCAATTAGATTATTTCTCTAAAAGGTTGAGCTAATACAGTTCCTTTTTCTTGGAATAAATACTTAGTTTATGAGCTAAAGTCTTAGTGGATAGAATCCTGCTTTATTACCCAAGACCACTA